AATATACTATTTAACCACCAATCTATAATAAAAGTACTTATCTATAAATTGTTGATTTTCAACAAATTTTTACTAACATTTCAGTATTACTGGCTCATTCTCCCCCAAGATGGGGAAACTTGGGATCAGGTAATAGATTTTAAACAAACTCACACTCATGAACGGAGCTCAGATATACATACCGTGATGCTCCTCTTGAAGAGGATATAATCTACCTTCCTCTTCCTATACCTCTATGCACCATAGGTATTAAAACGGGCCAAATCATGGCTTGGTAGTAAAACCTGAGCTTTGAGTACTTGTAGTGCTGTTCAAATGATACTGTGTCTCTCTTCACACTCCTCCAACCCCAACTAAACAACATTCAATTATGAATGCCTGTTTTACTTACCTTTGAATAATACACATTCTTGCTCATCATGATACAACTGCTTTTTGCCTTTGGTTTATTTTCACTGAGAGAGGAAGCAGGAGGGAACTATAGTTTGAACCATATAAAACTTTGAATATTCAACTGTTTAAGCTAATAGTGACTATTTATTAAGTGGCCAATAGAGTCTAAGGCTTGGTGGATTATTTAATTAAATCCTCACTACTTTTCATTTAAATGCTATACCACTATAAAGATGAAGAAATTTAGATGGGAAAGTAGGTCAGGAGACCTAAGGATTTGAGATCCACATTTCAGCCTCTCCATACCAATTACGATAATTTTATTGTTTATGCTGCCTAAAGAAAACTAATAATGGCTAGGAAGTTGAATTTTAGTGTGCTGCTACATTGGAATCTCTCCCTTGGTCTTAGGCCTCAAGTGGTCCCTCTTTACCAATTTAGCAACTCTTTTATGTGTTCCTGGTTCCCACCCTCAATCCCATCATAAGGTCCTCTGGTTGTTTTTTTTTTTTTAATAAATATCCTTCAGCCCAGCCCTCTATACCATAAATTCTCACATTATCATCAAAGGATTCTCAGAAACTGTGATTTTAAGTGAAACAATGTGTGACAAAAACCAATTTTTTGTTTGTTTGTTTTCTGAGATGGGAGTCTCACTCTTATTGCCCAAGCTGGAGTGCAATGGTGCAATCTTGGCTCACTGCAACCTCTGCCTCCCAGGTTCAAGCGATTGTTGGATACAATGAGTTCTAAATTTCTCTTCAAAGAATCAGTATGTCAGTATGTTCAGTTCTTTGTCCTCCATTTTAAAGTTTAACTTTCTTGTAGCTTCAGTAAACAACATTTTCCACCAGTTCCAATCAGGAGTTCACATCTGTTCCCCTAGGCACCTGCTCTATACGAACTCATCCTGGTCACCTGCTGTAACCTGAGTCACCCCTGGTCACCTGCTCTGACCAGAGTTACCTGTTCCATAACTGTTTTTCCTGCCAAACCGCTCACCCCACCACTCTGATTCATACCTCTGCTCTCTTTAAAAATAGGCAATTGGAATTAGCCTAGATTGCTCAGTCCAACCCTACCCAATAGGGGAACGACACAGCAGTAGGGGTTACCTGTGTCAGGGATAAGAACCCCTTCCCCTCCCCTGTTCAGGTGTGCATTTGCCATTGTTCCACCCAAGAGATGCACTCTTCTATAGAAGTAAATTGCCTTGCTGAGAAAATTTATATTCAAGTGCTATTTCCTTTGTGGCACCAAAAATTTACATATAACATGATTTTCCTGCCTCAGCCTCCTGAGTGGCAAGGATTACAGGCACCCACCACTATGCCCAGTTAATTTTTGTGTTTTTAGTAGAGACAGGGTTTTACCATGATGGCCAGGCTGGTTTTGAGCTCCTGTCCCCATGTGATCCACCCACCTCAGCCTCCCAAAGTGCTGAAATTACAGGTGTAAACCACCATGCATGGCAACGAAATCAATTTTACCACAGGCTAATTGATAAAAACAAGAGCTAACTTCCTATGGCATATTTCTAGTGACAAGAACATCACCAAACTTCTAAATGAAGACTCAAAACACTTCTAACATTAAATATTGAAATAAATGTAAACTCTACATACATTCAGGAAAGATTAATAAAAAAAAAATCAACTTTTGGTGAATGAGTGAGTGATGATGGTTGTAGTGGTAGTGGGTTAAATTAAGGAATAAACGTTTGCAAAGTGAAAATTGTAAAGAGCACCTCCTACCACCACACAGTTCAAAAACAAACAACAACAATGTTGGACTGAATGTTTTTGTACTGCAATTATTGTTATGTACTTGCATGCAGCACACTTTAAGAATTTTTATTTTACAATAATTTGCATTCATTCATTCATTTTCCAACCCACTTATTCTCAGTTCAGGGTCATGGGTGGCTGGAGCCTATCCTACTAGCTCAGGTTGCAAGGCTGGAACCAACCCTGACCAGGGCACCATTCCAACTGCAGGGTGCACTCACACATACCCAAACTCACTCCTACTGGCAGTTTCAGAGACACCAATTCACCTAATGTGCACACCTTGGGAATGTGAGGGGAATCCCATGCAGACATAAAAACAACATGGAAACTACCAGAGAAAACCCACACAGACATGGAAACAACAAGCAAACTCCACACAGTAGCCCTGGCCAGAAACTGATTTTTTTTCACATCAACATTATAAGAAAACAACATGAAAAAAAAGACATTATTTGAGGAACTGGTATATCCTAGAAAAGTAAAGCTCTTTTAAGGATAGCTTAAGTAATTCAGTATGAATATTACGTTGGTTTAGTTAATGATTTAAATGATAATTTTCAAAGTTTCCATATAAGTTTAAAACATTTATCTTTCCAATAATATAATTCCTACAAAGAAGCTCTCTTTCAAATAGTTGTAATAACAACTTATTTTCTCCACTCCCACTCCCTACTCTCATAGTTTATTTAATTCAGAGCCATCAGAGTAATACTGTTAAAATGTTTGTCAGAGCCCATTACTTTTCCAATTAAATCTTCCAGTGGCTTCTAATCTCAATCAGTATAAAATTCAAAATCCTAACTGTGGACTATAAAGCTCACATGACATGGCCTCTTGCTACCTCTCTGAAACTTTTGCTACTCCCCTTGGTCAACTGAATTCCAGCCACAATGGCTTTGCCTCCTTGCTAGTATCTGAATACGGCATATATATGTCCACCTTAGGATCCTCACCCTTAACTCTTCTGTCATGGCTTACTTTCACTTCATTCAAATCTCTGTTCAGATATTAGAGAAACTATTCCTGATCTTTACAGTGCAGCCTCCACTACTGTCTAGCTTCTTATGTTGCCTTATTTTTCTTCACAGTATTTACCAATTAACCATTGGGAGACAAATCTCCATGCATCTTTCATTTCTGCATATTTTGCAAGCCAGGAGCTGACTGTCCCCCACCCCACCTGCCACTATTTTTTGCTGTACTATCTTTTCAAAGATCTTTGTATAGCAAATAGTCTTGGTAGATACAGAAAATAGCTTTCCCTGGAGCAAAGTACAGGTATGCTTACCATCCATTATAAAAGATTCAACTTCCCTAAGCTCAGAGTTCCTCTTCTACAATGCACTCTGTTATGTGCAGGTCTCATCTAGTTTTCTTCCCATTACCCTAGGGGAACTGGGACACAGGGAACCAACACAAGAAAACGCTGATCCTATGGTTACTGCTATTGCTGTGAGTAGAAGTCTTATATCTTCAGTTGCCATCCATAAAACTGGAAGGCTGTAAGTACATTACATATTGAATTTCTCTCTATTTTTTTCTCCTAACATTCCACTGATTGCTCTATCCTCATTTTCCTATAGTTTTCACAGCACTTTTACAAATAGTATCATTTGACCTTCAAAAATCCTTGTGAAGCATTTTATCTTTCCGTTTAATGGGGAAGACACTGATCCAGAAAGGTTAAAGGATAAACCCAAGATTAGCAATAACAGATCAGTCACAGAATAACAGCAATTAGAATTCAGGTCTAATTCCTCATTTGATACTCATCTGTGACTTCTTAAAAGACAAATAACTAACATGCTGTACATTTTGTGAGATAGAAGGATAATCACCCACTGATATTAAATGGCAAATTCCTTATGTGACATAACATAAAAACACAGAAAATGTCAATGAATAGTAATACTGAGTACCTAAATAAGCACCTGTAAGATATCGCAATGTATGTCTTTTGGGTTTTTTTTAATTATATATTATGGCACATGAATGATCATTTGACCGAACTAGATTCTGCTTGTACAATAACAGCTATTTCCTTTATGTCTAAAGAAAGACATATTAAGAAAATATTCAAAAATGTTTGCTTTAACCAGAATTTTCCATCTTTGCAAGAATTAAGAGTGCTTCAAAATAAACTTCATTAATCTGAAAGGTTCCAGATAATATTAACGCTGCTTATACAACTCTCAGGATAGGTAATAAAGAAGCATTTATTACTAGCTTTTTCTTTAGAATGTGAGCAAAAGACTCAAAGAGAAGTCTGTATACAACTTGGTCAGTCATTTATAATTCACACCTTACCACTTCCAGGAAGACTGAGGGGGAAAAAAAGTCTGAGAGTATAAGAATAGATTCCATATACAAGAGAAGTATCAAGTTATATAAAATACCTGATTTTAAAAGCCCTATATCCTCCAGTAGAGTAAATATGCAAAATCAGTAATAGATCCTAGTCTATGGTTCAGAGTCCTAACAAGCTTATAAATATGCTAATATGTTTATGAACAGATTTATAAGCATACCAGATATTATAAATCTACCACATAGATTTATAAGCATCGATTATTATAACATAGGATATAACCACCTTCAAGGCTCATAAGTTATGAAATTTCTGATTATTAAATTGCACCAATATAGCTAAAATGATGGGTGAGTAGTTAAAATTTTACCCTTAAGAAAACTGAAGAAAAATTGAAAAAGAAAGAACCAAAAAATTATAAAGGTAAACAGAATAAAACGTATTGAGTCACTACAGTAAAAAATTATTTTATAAGACAATTTTAACTCAGTTATCACCAGTTCACTTACTGTGTAAGTTATAGCTGCCAACATTCCGATCAAGGTGAGAGAACTAATAGAAAATGACAATGCAGCTAAACCATCTGCAAAGAAAGAAAAACTGTTTAAAATGTACATATATACTACTCAAATGTTTACATTTAGCAAATTAATGTAAAACGCTGAGCTGCTTATACATTTTGAAGAAATAAAAACCAATATGTACTACCATATTCTTGAAGTCCTAACTTAGAGAAAAGACTCTTTAAAGGGCTCTTTAAAAATTGATTTGTAAAAGATCTTTCAGACTAGCTGAGATTTTCTTTCCCTCACCTCTTAAAATTAACAGGAAAATTACTGGTTAATTATTGGGCCCAAAAAGAGAACAGTAAAATATCAGATGCTCAAAAAGTGAATAAAAAGATCACATGGGCTTTCTCAATGGTAGACCCTAAAAGATAATATTACATAGGAAAGCTACCGACCTTGACTCTTTCTCCCTTCTCAACACAGTCTTAATACTTCTAGTTACTTCGTTCTTGATTTTCAAATCAGTTTTTAATGTACAGTCAAAAACTAAAATCTTAATTAAAGAGTTTATTTCACTTTTTAACTTGAAAGGACAAGCTTGCCCACTTGGTAGAAAAATAAAAGCAAACACAACTAGAAAACAGATTCAAAAACGCACACACACACACACACACACACACACACATATACAACTATGCTAACAAGTTGGATTTAGGAAATTATCTAAAGGAAGGTCAAAGAGTGAGGGACAGGAATGATACTTTCACATAAATATATCAAATTATGTAATAAAATACTGGGCAACCTTGAATACTCTTAGGTAGGAACAATACTTTCTCCAGTTTTAATACAAGTCCTATCAGGCCTGTATTGATCAAGTTTAAATGCAGGTCTTATAGAACCAAATACAACATTTTGATTAATTTAATGTGTTGACATTAATCTTTTATGAGTACTAATAAAATTACAATGATCTATCATCTTAAAACTCATGTCTCAGTTTTGTAAAACACATAAAGAGAGCATATTATTAACAAATTCGTAAATCATATAAAGCAAATTTTTGTCTTAATTTTTTAAAACTGTATTTTATCAAATCAAAGACATTTTGATGCCATAACTTTATTGATTGTACCAGAAGCATCAACAGAAGGTGTTGATACAACTAGAAGAGGTCTGCTATCTGGCTGATAACAATTATAAGGTACTATCACTTGTAAAATATATCTCCAAAACAGAGATAAAAATCTGAAAAAGTATGTGTCTTAGGAATGATAAAACCGAGTATTATGCTAACATATTTGGCCATCAAAATGTTAATATTACTAACAGTCATCATCATCTGAACCAAATAACTCAAGATTGATCATTATTTATTATTCCCATTTGGGTACAGGATGAATAAACATATACTGAAGATACTTGAAGATGCATTCTCTCTATATGTTAGGGGGTCTATGATCTGGACACATACATCTTTATGATGTAATAAATAAATCCTATTGTAAACAAGTGTGGTACAGTCATAAAATGCATTACTCTGCTGAAATAAAAAGAAACTACTTATACAAATGAATTTTGAAGTATTATTTCATGAAAGAAGCCAGACATACACAAAAAAGAATCATTAATAAATGGAATCAGAATTTCACTCACAATATTCAAAAAAAGCAAAACTAACATATAGTGACAGAAATTATAATCATAGTATCTCTCATGGGAGATGATATTAACTGAATGGCATATTGCGAAAAAATTGCTGGAGTGGTAGATGTGTTCTACACCTTGACTGTAATCAGTTACAATGACGGTATACATGTATTGTAAGATCCATGCATTAAGATGCCTAAAAAATGAAAGGAGATGGGATGAGAAATAAAAGGACTAAAAATTAAGAATACTTGGGTAACTGTTTTCGACTTAGACAGCTGATCTAGACTGATAAGCAACATATATTTTAGATGGTGTTAACACTGGAGACAAAAAAAATGGAAGACTAAATTGAATGGAATTACAAAACAAAACAAAACAAAACAAAACAAAACAAAACAAAACAGAATAATGCTACCTATCTAATCACCAGTTCAAGTTATACTAATACTCAAAGTATAACTTATGAAATAATATTTAGGGCAGAAGAGTAGTCACTCAAGAGACCTAAAGGAGTTAACTCCAAGAAAAGAAGCTATTAATTTATCAGCAACAGAATCAAGGTGCACAAATCTGACAATTCAGTATTAGTAGATGCCAGGCCTGCTACCCTTATTCTTGCTGGTATCAGCAAGATATTAATGAATCACAATTTACAACATGAGATCTTAAGTGGAAAGCAAGAAAATTACGAACTCATACAGCAGACTGCAAGACTTAATTTAATCATTATTTAGTATTGTAACTGGGTAAAAAAGAACTGCGGATCAAAGAATGTACAGTACCTATTAGAACAGTCATAAAAGCAATACAGTTTTCCTGCATAATATTTATAGAAATAAGTACACTAGGTATCTTTGAAAATAAATTACTATATTCAAATGCACAAGAAATTTTGAGTAATATAATACACTTATTTTAATATCACTTTCTAATTCCAAAGTTATTTTTTTCAATGATTAAGCAACTTTCTTTAACCTAACCCAAGCCCTTTTTTTTTTTTTCTTTTTTTTTTCTGTAAAAACCTAGGTCACACAGAGTAAGTTAAAAAAACTTCTAGAAGAACAATTCCAAAATATTTTGATGAGGTAAATTTATAATAAAACACTACTTAATTCATATAAAACCTCTGTAATTTATATTTGACATAAAAGATAATTTAGTCCCAAACAAAAAGATAAGGTTCTCTCTTACTAATTAAAAATAAAACCCAATATATCCAGTAGATTTCTTTAACATATTATTCAATATTATCCTAAGTGAATTAAAAATCACATAGAAATTATAAGACCCACAATGCTAAAATAATTTGAAGAAAGGATTAAATTTCCTGTCAACCGGGTAATTTTATGAAGTCAAGAAAACAGTTACATAATAGCTAGATGGCTAAGTGAGCCTTAAGAATGCAATACTTCTAATGTGTCTAGCATTAGGTTCAAGGACAGTTAGAAAAACTGCAGAGTTAACTTTTTTTTTTTTAGACCAAATCTCGCTCTGTCTCCCAGGCTGGAGTGCAATGATTCAATCTCAGCTCACTGCAACCTCCACCTCCCAGATTCAAGTGATTCTCCTGCCTCAGCCTCCTAAGTAGCTGGAATTACAGGCACCTGCCACCATGCTGAGCTAATTTTTGTATTTTTAATAGAGACGGGATTTCACCATGTTGACCAGGCTGGTCTCAAACTCTTGACCTCAGATGACCCACCCACCTGAGCCTCCCAAAGTGCTGGGATTACAATGTAAGCCACCACTTCTGACCAGGGTTAAATTCTTAATGAAATACAAATAGACTATCCCAAGTATCAGGAAATATAAATTACTACATTTTTCTATAAAAAAAACAATACTTACGACTACTTCCAAGTTCTTCAAACAGGAACTTCACTTTTTCCCACTCTGTGGAATTTTTGTTATTAGGAACATTCAATGGAACAAAGGCACTACAAAGAAGAAAATAATTGTTTTAATTGCTTTAAAAATAAAAAGTTAAATGGTTTGAAACTTGCATTATTTTTCTCTGAAACAATAAAAAAAACAAATCTGTACTATGCAGAGAGGGGAGTGAAGAGTTTCTTATCTATGCATTTATTTCTCTGCAAATTTGTTTTAATAGTTATATTAAGGCATTCAGTAAAATTAGTTTCCTTTGTAATCCCATATGTCTTTTGCACTGAAAGTACTGATTTGTCAGTTATACTTTAATAAAGCTGAGGAAAAAAATACAAAAAATAAATATATAATATTTTGACAATGACCGTAGGTTTAAAATGATCAAAACAAACCACAAAAAAGGTTAAGAATATCTGTACTAAATCGATAGAGCAGAATATAAATATATGCAATTATTTTAATATAGTTATATAGATAAGAAGAAACAAAAGAAATGCATTAGAATAAACAGTGAACATCTCATTGTGGAATCGGAAGTGATTATTACTTTATTAGTATTTTCCTATTAATATGTCTTTCAAGATTCTATCCAACAGACAAAATGAAAGTAGTTTCTATTTATTTTTCAGCCCACAGGTGAAGAACTGTAGAAATAAGAGACAGACAGCATCCTAGGAGCTGCTCTAGGACCTTAAACTGGGAAAAAATAGAATAAATAAATGTTCACTTTACTATCTAGCCCATATCAATAAACAAGAAGATAATCAAGAGATTAAGGTAAAGAGCTGGGTATCCCTTAGGCAATATAAGTGTAGGAACAAACAGAAGTAGGAGGTAACTCTATTACCATATCCTTCCCAACTTAATTTTAAGCATAAACAAAGTGGTAAGATTTATTCTCTGTTGTAAAGAGGATAATTTCCCAAGAAAATTAACCCTTCCTCTTGGTGATACATGTTCAACTCCTCAGCAGAATTATCTAGCAGTTTAAATATTCAAAAAAGAGTAACACCAGAGGAAACCTTATATAATCAAAAAAACTAAAAAGACTAAGTGGCCCACACCAGAATGACTTCACAAAAATTCTTTGAAAGCATTTATCAGAGAGTTAACATGTGAGCACTTAGCATTTTAGGTATAAATGAAAGCAAAAATCCAAAGCAGATTCCTAAATTACCACCAGGATTTTACAATCTAAAAAACAGATCTAAAATATTTTCACTTAAACTAAGAAAACATCCATAAGTAGAACTCAAAATATGCCAAAGGAACTAATTAATCAACACAGACCCTGGCCTTATTACTGTAGGACCTTGATAAGCCAGGCTTTCCTCTTTCAATGGAGCTGACGTAGGGTAAGAAGACTCAAAAGGCAGAGCAGCACCTGACTGGTATAAAAGCATGTCAACCTTTTAACCACAAGAAGGAACAAACCACTGCTCATCAGCCAAATATCAGCGCCATAGACAAAGAGCTATAAAGAAAAAGGAATACCTCCCAACAGATGAGAAGACAATTGAAGTCATGAAGTTATAATACAGATATATCAGTTCCAAGGAAAGAGAAAGCGGTTAAGATTATCAGGTATTTAGTATACTAAATGAAATCGTGATGACACTAAAGAAACCAAGAGTTAGAATACAATGGAATTTGTGTGGTAAAAGGGTGCATATACTTTTAAAATCTCAGCCCTTCTAAAAAGAAACTCAATACAGGGCACCTCAGCTTCCTAAAACACGAAGTACTAGATTAACCCATTTCTTCCTGGTGTTCCATTATTGGAATACTAAGTTTGTGGGAATTATTTAATATTTTACTACTCAAGGTCATCACCAAGGTCTGATTTTTCACCCCCCAAAAAATCTGCAAACTTTAGCATAAATGGGTTAAAATATAAACTACAGCCTAGTCTGATTAGACTTTTCCCTCTTGAACTTGAAAATAATAAAACTAAAAAACTGCTTAGCAAAAATATTTTCTACCCAATCTGAGTCACTGAATTCGCTTAACACGCATTATCTCTTCAGAAAGAGACAAAGGAAAAGCTAATGAATTGCAGTAGATATGAAATAGAAATGATGAATTCAGCAGAACTGAAAATAAGATGTTCACTTCCTATACTCCACCACCAAGTCAATTCATATTTATCTTCCAAACAGTTTATGTTTCTTCCTCTCTGTTCTCTTTGTAACCACTGTAGTTCCAATGCTCACCTGAATTTATCTGAACTTATATAATGGCTACTTAACTGATCTTCCTACCTACTATTTACATACCACTTCTCCTACCCAACATCCAAAATCCTCTTTCAATACATCCTTCACAGTGCTGTAAGTAACTCTTAAAGCAAAGTCATATATATTTATTTTCATGCATTCATATACACGAATATACACAAAATCTTCACTGTCTTTTAATTACTTGGTAGGACAAAATTAAAAATTTCTTAAACATAGCATGTAAGACCCAGAGTCTACTTACCTGGCTAATGTCATATCCTGTCACTTGACCACAGGAACCCTTGAAACCTCCCACTACACTTTTTTTTTGAGGGGAGGGGAAGTCTAAATTCACATCATATATTTTATATCATTCTTCACATATTCCATGTTAACCCCAGCTTCCAAGTTAATATATTTTATAGACTGAATTATGTTCCCTAAAAATTCGTATGTTGCTGGCTCTCTGCTCCCCCATTCTACAGATAGTCTCATCTCAGCAGCACCAGCCACATCACTGAGACAACACGATGAAAGTGAAGGCCAGAGTAAATGGATTTAGCCACAGTGGGTGCCCGGTGACCAGTGCTGCTTTTAACTCTGGCAAAGTGAATACTGTTGCCATGAGCGGCCCTTCAGTGACCTTAACTACATGGTCTACATGTTCCAGCATGATTCCACCCATGGCAAGTTCTAGGGTACTGTCAAGGTTAAGAATTGGAAGTTTGTCATCAATGGAAATCCCATCACCCTCTTACAGGTGCAAGATTTTGCCAAAATTAAATGGGTGATTTTTGCACTGATTATGTTATGGACTCTACCAGCATCTTCACTACCATGAAGAAGGCTGAGGTTGACTTAGAACAGGAGAAAAAAGGATCCTCATCTCTGCCCCTTCTGCTGATACCCCCATGTGATGGCATGAACCATGAGAAGTACAAAAATGGCATTGAGATGGTCAGCAATGCCTCTTGCACCATCACTGCTTAGCACTGGCCAAGGTCATCCATGACAACTTTGGCATCATGGTGGGACTCAAGACCACAGTTCATGCCATCACTGGCACTCAGAAGACTACGAATGGTCCCTCTGGGAAACTCTGGTGTGACAGCTGTGGGGCTTTCCAGATCACCATCCCTGCCTCTACTGGTGTTGCCAAGGCTGTGGGCAAGGTCATCCCTGAACTATAGGAAGCTTACTGGCATAACTTTCCATGTCCCCTCTGCCAGTGTTTTGATCATAGACCTGACTTGCCATCTGGAGAAACCTGCCAAATATGATGACATAAAGAAGATGGTGAAGTAGGCTTTGGAGGGTCCCCTCAAGGGCATCCTGGACTACACAGAGCAACAGGTTGTCTCTCCTCCAACTTTACTAGTGATGCTCATTCTTTCACCTTTGATGCTGGGGCTGGCATTCCCTTCAACAACCACTTTTTCAAGCTCATTTTCTGGAATGACAATGAATTTGGGTACAGCAACAGGGTGGTGGAACTCATGTTACGCCTGGCCTCCAAGAAGTAATAGAGCCCCTAGATCACTAGCCCCAGCAAGAGCACAACAGGGAGAGAGAGGTCCTCACCTGCCAGGGAGTTCATGCCACACTCAGTCCCCCACCACAGTGAGAATCTCCCCTGGACATAGTTTCCGTGCTAGATTCCCTGAAGAAGAAGAGACCTAGGGAGTTCCACTATGCTATGTACCATCAATAAAGTCCCCTGTACTCAACTCTCCTAAAAAAAATCCAAGGCTGGGCATGGTGGCTCACGCCTATAATCGCAGCACTTTGGGAGGCTGACATGGGTGGATCACCTGAGGTCAAAAGTTGGAGACCAGCCTGACCAACAAAGAGAAACCCTGTCTCTACTAAATATACAAAAATTCGAGGGGTGTGGTGGTGCATGCCTGTAATCCCAGCTACTCAAGTAGCCAAGGCAGAAGAATTGCTTTAAACCAGGAGATGGAGGTTGTGATGAGCCGAGATCGCGCCATTGCAGTCTGGGCAACAAGAGCAAAACTTTGTCTCCAAAAAAAAAAAAAAGGGAGAAAGGAAAAAGGAAAAAAAGGAAAGAGGAAAAAAGAAAAAAGAAAAGAAAACTAGCAGGGCATGGTGACAGGTGCCTGTAAACCTAGCTACTAGGGAGGCTGTGGAAGGAGAATTGTTTGAACTCGGGAGGTGAAGGTTGCAGTAAGTCAAGATAGCATCATTGCATTCCAGCCAGGGCAACAATGCAAGACTCTATCTCCAAAAAAATCCAAATGTTGAAGCTCTAAACCCCAATGTAATGGTATTTGGACATAGGTCCTTTAGCAAGGGAATTAAGGTTAAATGAAGCCGTAAGGGTGGAGCCCTAATCATCCCATGGCATTGGTGTCCTCAAAAGTAAAGGAAGAAACACGAGAGTGCTCCTTCTCTCTCTCTCTCCTCCCCACCCCATCCTCCTCTTCCCCTCCCCTTCTCCCTCTGCAAGCACAAAGGAAAGGCCATAGGAAGACAGTGCAAGAAGGTGGCCTTCTATAAGCCAGGAAGAAAACTCTCAACAGAAACCAAATTTGCCAGCATCTTTAACATAGACTTCTAGCCTCCAGAACCATGATAAAATAAATGACTGTTATTTAAGCCACCCAGTCTATGACACTTTGTTATGGCAGCCAAAGGAGACTAATACATGTTATTCATCTTTTTTATTTGTCAAGTCAGCTGACCAATTCCCATTCCTTTAAATCTCAACTGAAATATTACATCCTCTTAGATGTCCTGATTCTGCAATGCAGTGTTAGAACCTCCTCCTCCATCATCAACATCTGGTATGTATCTCCTACCAGAGCACTTAAATACTGTAATTCAAGGTCTGTATCTGCATGCCTCCACAATGCAAATCTAAAGGACAGAGACCATGATCCTCCACCATTACCCCTCAAGATCTAGCACAGTATCTAACACATACGTGTTCCAAAAACATATGAGCTACATGAATTAGTTAAATCTAGATCACAGCTTTGCCATAAAATTATCTAGTTCTATTAGCAAAAGCACACACTTAAAAGAAACTCTGAATATGCCACCTTCAAAAATATTTCAAGACCTTTTGTCAATCACTTAACCTAAATGCACACCTCATTCAAATATGTACATATGGTAATGAGAAGAACACTGTCCTGGATGACTGAAACACTAATAGTCTTTAACTCACTATTCTTTTATTTTGGCTGTTAAAAGATTTGTAGTTTTATTGATGATTCTCACTCATGATATAAATTGGGAGTTGGCAAACTACCGGCTGCCTGTGTTTAGAAATAAAGTTTTCCTAGAACATAGTTGTGTTCTTTATTTGTTTACTGTCTATGATTACTTCTGAGCTATAGGAGAGCCACAGAGACCATATAGGCTGTAAATGTAAAATACTTACTATCTATGCTTTAAGAAAAGTTTGCCTATTCCTGCCTTAGATAATTCAGGCTTACAGACAAGGGACCTCATTGTTAACAAGGGAAATTAACATTAAGTAGATCTGGCTTTCTAAAAAAGCCAAAAGAAAAACACTTTAAAAATATACTTGGTAGCTAAAAAAATAGAAAACCCACTAAAGAAAGTGTTTACAAAAAGTACTCCTTTTCATGACACATCAAGGCAGGTGAAAAGAATTGGAAGTATGACTTGACTATAAAACATGCACATTCTAAGAACTCCCAGAACTACAAAAAGTTACTCAACAATTTTATTTCGATTACAAGTTACATGTAATAAGTAATTTTTTTATTTATGGAAAGTTATTTATTAGAAATTGTGGGACTAAATTATAAAAGAAACTTTAAAAAACTTATTAACACTTAATATATTTCCTAACATAAAATATGAGAGACTAATAACCTATTTATAACACAGATAAATGTCTTCCAGTAACAAGCATAAACATTAGCTGTTCTAATAAATATGTAAAATGTTATTGATATTACTTTAAAAAACAAGAAAAATTAAGAAAAGAAATCTGTTGACAAAGATTTGAAGACTGATAGGGTCAAATCTGAAAGACGCACAGACAAGGATTTTTATCCAAGCGTTATTTATAAAAATGGGGAAACATCATAAATGTCTAAGCAGTCATCACTAGAAGATCAGTTAAATATATTTTTGTATCCTTAGAAGGAAATGCAATGTAGTCAAAATTGATGGATCTACACTTACTATCCTGAAGAGATGCCCACAATATGTTAACAAGTAGATTACCAAGGATTATATAAAATATAATCACATTTGTATAAAATTAAAACATGTAGGGTGCATGCAAGAAGGGAGGTGTACTCTGCATGCATTCAAGCACATAAAAATGTATAGATGAAACAACACAGACAAAACTCTTAAATTGTGGCTACTATTCCTTGGAGACACAGAAAGTGAACTGTTCCTTTTTTTACATTTTTTTTCCCTAAATTTTTCTGAATGATCATTTTGTTATTTTTTTTCAAATACTTGTATTTCCATGTCATGGTTTAAAAAAAAAAAAAAAATCAAGACTTACCCAACTAAAAGAAGCAGTGCACAAATCACAGCAAATCCCAAAGTATACTTGAGTGCTGTTTTAATTTGCTAGACACCAGGAAGAAAAAAGTATACCACTTAGCAAGCCTTTTGAAATATAAAATATTCTTGCAATAGTTTAACAGTTCCTTCACATCAGATACACACTTGTAGTCAACAGTGTAAAGTTTCACTTGTTGAAAAACAACCTTAAAATTTAAAGAAAACGGGTATACTACATCTTAAGTATCTTGACAAAATATGAGATTTTGAAAATCTTTTCAATAGTTAGGGCCTTGTAAAAACCAATCCACCTAAAGCATAGTTAATTCTCCAGCAGGCACCTTCAGTAAAATTATCAGAATACGTAATAAAAGATTCCCCCAAACAGCAATCAGAATCTACAACACCCCAACCCAATTCATCAAATGGTTTATAACAATAAACACAATATACACATATGTTTGTGTTTCAGTATATATATATGAGTATATAAAGTATATTTGTATATATGCATACTCACATATACATATATATAAGTATATATGCACACATAAATATATGTGCATATATAATTATATATATTAATATATATTTTACACATATATAATGTTTATCATGCCAGGCACTGATCTAAGAACTTCACATATGTTAACTCATTTAATTCTCATAACAATTCTAAGATAGGTTGTTCTCATATCTACTTTAGATGTAAGGAAGCTGAAGTCCAGAGAAGTTAATAATCTGTCCTAAGGCACATAGGTCATAAGTGATTAAACAAGTGCTTAAAATCAGGAACTTGGGAATTTAAAACCTATGCTTTGCTTGGTGCCTATAATGTACTCACTCTAAAGGCTAAGAAAAGCAAAAAAGGCAAAGTTGGACATTCTGAATACGAATAAAAAAGTTAATAGTAATCTCATTTAAATCAGTCAGAAATAACATTTGTCCTCTCAGACTAACGACGCCTCTAAAAATCATCTTTTAAAATTTGAATAGATGTTTCACATAGTAAGTTCTTGTTCACAAAGGGGGTAAGATATTCTTCAGGAAAAAAAACTAAAGAAAAGGTAAAGAAGATCCTAAGATCAACCAAACGGTAGAAGAATGTGCACTTTGGAAGAAGTGAAAGAGACAACATGAATCTCATGGAGATTTTATTAAATGTGTAACTAGCTACCTTTCTTTATACACCTTGGTTTTTCCAACTATAGAGTATCTGCAAATAACAATTTTGACTCTCTTTATAAATATTTAAATGTCTAACTTTTTCTTCTCTAATACTGCATTGATTATCACTCTAAGAGTCATTTAAAATATTGTGAATTTACTTGCTCCTAATCTTAATGCAAAGGCTCTTAAGGTTTTAAGCATGATTAAGCATGATGCTGGCTTTTGACTGAATACATTTATTTCTGTATTTAAACACAAATGAAAACAAGGTTTAAAACAAAATCCTGTAACTCAAAAAGATAAGACATTAGTCTTATTTTTCAACTGTTCCCCTAAAATAAAACGTGTTCAACTTTGACAAATACCTTTTAATATACATTTTTTTCTTTGACCTATTAATTACTATATATCAATAGATTTCCTGATTTTCAGTCATCCATGCAATTGAGAGGCCCAACTCGGTTATATATTAATATAAATATATTTGTAAGATGCTCCTGAATTATATTTACTATTATTTTAGTTAAGATGTTTATACCAATACTTAAGTGGTATTAGTATGCAGTTTTGAACACGTTTGCTGTATTTGTCAGGTTTTAAAAAAGTCAGTCTTAACCTGGATTAGTAACGACAACCTACAAGTGTTCTTTCTTTATGCCTCTGAACAGGGGCCAGCAAACTACATTCTGTGTAGCACATCTGATTCATCTTCTGTTTTAGCGGATCATATAGTGTTCATTGTCTCTGGATACTTTTAACATTACAATGGTAAACTTGAGTAGCTGAGACAGAGACCATATAGCTCACAAATCCTAAATTATTTACTACCTGGCCTTCTACAGAAAAAATTCTGTATGCCTGATCTAGAATTGCTTTGTCTAAAACAATAGTCACAAGCCACATGCAGCTAGAAAGCAACTGAAATGTGGCTAGCTTGAATAAGTGTAAAATACACCCAAATTTCAAAGACTTAGTTTGAATAGTATGTTTAGCTGTATTTGAAATATTTGGAATATATTATGTAAAATTCAATGTGTAATTAAAATTAATTTCAACTGTTTCTTTTCATTTTAATGTAGCTAACATTATATTTCTATTAAACAACACTGCTCTAGAAAAAATTCAGTCATGTCATTATCTGAAAAAGCAGGAATATTTTTCTTTCCTAAACTGAGACCTCTAAAATAAAGATACTTACAGTACATTTGCTAGTATCATCATCATCCTTTTCTTCATAATAGAAGTAGACAAAAGGAATCCAGAAGAACACACAGAACAATATTACAGAATACAAAGCTGTGGAAATAAATAATAAGCTGAGTTTTACTAAATACATATATACTTAATCACAGTTATCTATCTGTGTGTGTATATGTATATATGTATATATATTCACTTACCAAGTTCACTCCCCTATCTGATTCCTTGTTCTCATAATTCTCTATACATGGTATATGATGCCCAAATAGTCTTCCCTGTCCTATGTCCCAAGAAACTACCAGTACTCCAAAACCATAATTCAAGTTAACTCTGGGGAAATTTCTAACAATAGTAACAACTGGGTAAAGAACAATTGTGGCAGCTAATATATGAGCTCTTACTATGTATTAACTACAATACTAAGAACTTCCTATCAACTATCTCATTTAAATGAACTTTAACTTTTGCCTTCATTCCAATTTGAATTTGAGTACACTTACACAACATTTGCTATTCTGGCAAGTTAAAGAAACAGCTATAAATAATACTGTCTTTTTGATATAAATAATTTTCTCACCTTAAGTTTTAAAAATATGCAATATTATATAACTGATCTTACCCAAATGAAAATAGAGAAAAGTTAAAAAGAATAGTAAAACAGTAAAAGTAGATTCTCTGTTTTCCTGCCAGTGGACACTGGGGTTGCTTACACATTTTGGAATTTGTGAATAATACAGCTATGAACACAGAAGGACAAATAACTCTTCATGACCCTGTTATCGATTCTTAGCTTAGATTCAAAATTAGATTCAACATCAACTGATATGAACTACTATTTATCTGCTTAAAAAAAAAACATTAATTTGAAATACTTTTAACCAGTAGTCAGTCAAAATGTTAATTTAAATTCAACATAGAGCTTAAGTTAAGCCAAAGGTATAGTACCTTTAACTATAAAAACAGAATAAACATTTTGAGACTTAAGCCAAAGAAACCTGTTTTTAAAATTTGTATATTCACATTCATTTGCTTTTACATACATTCATGAAAAACAGTAGTACCAGTATAACTGCATAAAGCAATTACTGAATTATAATCATTGTATTCCTTTACAAAAAAAAGCAACTGTTACCACCCCAGACCCATTAAGATGGCTACTAACAAAAAATAGTAATAATGACAAGTGTTGAAAAGGATGTGGAGAAATTGGAACCCTGTGTGCTGCTAGTAGGAATGTAAAATGGTATAGCAGCTGGAGAAGATGGTATGATGTTTCCTAAAATAATTAAAAATGGCATTACATATGATCCAGCAATTCCACTTCTGGGTACATGCACAAAAGAGTTGAAAACAGGGTCTCCAAGAGTTATTTGTACAACCATGTTCACAACTGCATTGTTCACAATAACTAAAACATGAAAGCCACCCAAATGCCCACTGATGGATGGACAGAGAAGCAAAATGTGGTATGCACAAAACAGAGTATTATTGATTCTTAAAAAGGAAGGAAATGATATATGCTACAACACATGTGAACTTAGCATAATTAGGGGGACACTATGCTAAGTGAAATTAGCCAGTTACAAAAAGACAAATACTGTATGACTCCACTTACAGGAGGTACTCAGAGTAGTCAAAATCATGAAGACAGAAAGTAGGACAGTAGTCGTCAGGAGAGGGGAAGGGCAGAATAGAGAGTTACTGTTTAATAGGTATAGTTTCAATTTTACAAGATGGAAAGTGTTATGAAAATGGGTGGCAGCAATGGCTACATATTTTGAATATATGTAATACCACTGAATAGTGCATTTGAAATGGTTAAGATGTTAAAAAAATGTAAAAAATGCATGTTAGTAATGTATAATAAAAATCTAAATTACTTGTTGTCTTGGAAGAAGTAATTTTAGAGTTAAAGAGTTTTCTTGACATTTAATAGCACTATCTCATTTATCTGGAGGATATTAATGATATAGCCCTACTACATGCAATACAGATAAAAGAAACTCAAATCAAACAGGACCCTAAATAATCGATAAAAGGGCAGAGTTAATTTATATGAAGCAATCACAAAATTACTGTCAACATAATGAATTTGGCACTATAGACACAGGTTTTTAATATTATGAGCAACTAATAGTGACAAATCTTCTAGGGCAATGAAAATTGGTGTTTGTACTACAAACTAAAGAGTAGTAGTAAGTTTTAACATTTCTATTGCAAAACTAAGAGCCAACAGAAATAAACATTTATTTAGAAGGAACTTAAATTTACAAGATATAAACAAACAACCTCATCAAAAAGTGGGTGAAGGATATGAACAGACGCTTCTCAAAAGAAGATGTTCATGCAGCTAACAAACATATGAAAAAAAAGCTCATTATCACTGGTCATTAAAGAAATGCAAATCAAAACCACAATGAGATACCATCTCATGCCAGTTAGAATGATGATTATTAAAAAGTCAGGAAATGATAGATGCTGGCAAGACTGTGGACAAACAGGAACGCTTTTACACTGTTGGTGGGAGTGTAAATTTTACATCAACCATTGTGAAGACAGTGTGGCAATTCCTCAGGGATCTAGAACCAGAAATGCCATTTGACCCAGTAATCCCATTTTCGGGTATATACCCAAAGGATTAGAAATAATTCTACTATAAAGACCCATGCACACATATGTTTATTGCAGCACTATTTACAATAGCAAAGACTTGGAACCAACCCAAATGCTCATCAATGAAAGACTGGAAAAAGAAAATGTGGCACCTATATACCATGGAATACTATCCAGCCATTAAAAAGAGTAAGTTCATGTCCTTTGCAGGGACATGGATGAAGCTGGAAGCCATCATTCTCAGTAAACTAACACAGGAACAGAAAACCAAACATCAAATATTCTCACTCATAAGTAAAGTTGAACAATGAGAACACGTAGACACAGGGAGGAGAACATCACACAGGGGGACCTGTTGGCGGCAAGGGATTGGGGGGAGGGCGGGGGAGGAGGGCAAGAGGAGAGAGAACATTAGGACAAATACCTAATGCATGCAGGGTTTAAAACCTAGATGATAAGTTGATAGATGCAGCAAACCACCATGGTACATGTCTACCTATACAACAAACCTGCACATTCTGCACATGTATCCCAAAACTTAAAGTGAAAACAAAAACAAACAAACAAAAACTGTAACAAGTATTCCAAAGCTTTAAAAGCTTAAATACAAAATGCCATTTGTAAATCTCCCTAAATACCATGCCAATATTACAATTAAAATAATCAAGTAATTTATGTAAAAATGGAAAAAAAAAAACTGAATTAGCACAATAGATTTGAGTAGGCTTACAGCCTTACACCAAAATCTTTGATAAACTGATAGGTGGAGTAAAGTTTAGCTTCAGCCTGAGTATGCCATTTGTGTCTGTTACTAGGTGGGCTTGGCCTTTAGATACCAAAACAGCCTGATGATTATTTGTATACACATTTCTTGTTCTCCTAATCTTGTATGATGAACAATTTTTTGAAAACCTAAGTTACCATTATATTTAATTAGTATAGCAAAGTATAAGACAAATTCCTGTAACTCAATTAAAAAGACAACCCTTTTAAAAAACAAAAAAAAGGGCAAAGACTTTGATACTTCACATTAGAAAATATATACAATGGCCAGGTGCAGTGGCTCACGCCTGTAATCTCAGCACTTTGGGAGGCCAAGGCTGGCATATCACCTGAGTTCAGGAGCCTGAGGCCAACATGGCCAACATGGCGAGACCCCATCTTTACGAAAAATACAAAAAAAAAAAAAAAAATAGCAAGGCATGGTAGCAGGCACCTGTAATCTCAGCTACTCAGGAGGCAGAGGTTGCAGTGAGCCGAGACTGTGCCACTGCACTCCAGCCTAGGCAACAGAGTGAGACTTCATCTCAATAAAAAAAGAAAATATACACAATGGCCAATAAGCACATTTTAAAAGACGCTCATCACCATAAGTAATCAGGAAAATGCAAGGTAAATCTAAATGACTAAAATTAAACTGGCAATACCAAGTATTGACAAGAATGCAGAACAACTAACATTATCATACTACTTATGGGAATCAGATACAACACTGTAAAAAACTGTTCAGTAGCTTCTTAACAAGTTAAAAATATACCTATCATGCGAGCCAACAATTTTCTTACTCTAGCAATAAAGTACAACTTATGCAAAAGGGCTTTTGCCCAGAGAAGCTTGCTTGATTTGCAGAGTCCAGGGGCATTTATTGGAGACTTGCAATACAAGCACATTTGCCTAAGTGACCAGCTTTGATTACCAAAACTACAGACTCCAAAAAGGAAAGCAAGAATTCACCAAAAATCATGTTTTGCACAATCTAAACAAGCTGGTACAGCATGGTTCCACACCCAACTGTACAAAATCACTTTTCAATTAGTAACATAGGGAATACACAAGGGCTAAATTCCTAGGAGTTAGTCAAAGGTAAGCCACACAAGCAGGACCTCCCTGAAAACATTCAGGCATTCAGCAATATTAGGTCTGCTGAATTAACTCTTTCACAAGAATGATGTTCACAGAAACATACAGTGATCAAAAACTGGAAATGATCCAAATGATCATCAGCAAGCGGATGGATAAGCAAACTCAATGATATATTCACAAAAAAGACAATCACATAGCAATAAAAAAAAGAAACATGAGACACAGATGAATCTCATAGACCTTGTGATGAATAAAACAAGCCCAGACACAAGAGGACCTTTCTATGAGTGAACATAAGGAAGTGCTGGAATTGGCAAAACTAATCTGAGAAGTCAAAAAAATGGGGCAGCTATTGACTGTAAAAGATGCATGGCAACCAAAATTCTCATGTTGCTGGTAAGAGTACCTACAAAAACTTTTCAGCAATCAACATCTGGAGAAATGAAGTGGACAACAGATGTAATTCTCAAGAGACTATAATATCCCTCTAGTAGTCTATGATTCAAAATAGGTTTAAAATTGCTCTAAATAGTTCTTTCCCTGATACAACCATCTAAGCTATCTTCTAATAATGACTGTTCTTTCACAGTGTCTTTATAAAGATCTCTTCTTTTAGCCCA